AAGACTATGAATATGATGTTTCCTGGATAGTGGATAGACAAATGTACCCCAGGTAGAGAACACATGTGGTTTCTTCTCCCATCGGAAATTAGTTTGTTTCGACGGAGTATATGACTAATTTAATTCGAATGCAATCGGAATCCTAGAAAAAAATATTATTGAGATTAGCAATCCGTGTAAATAGACTACGATTTGTTGGGTTTGGGGACGAGCATGTTTTGGAATGCGTTGATCAATTGCACGCAATAGAGTACCTTAATTGGGACGGTCACAGATTTATCTAAATTTTGCCTGTAACAAGGATAGTTGGAGGAGCAAATGATGTACAAATCAAAATGGGTGTGAGCAGATGGTTCGTATCATTAGCTTGGTAAAGCTTGAGCAATTGAAATAAACACTGTTCGTATTGTTGATCAATATTTATGCAGCACTGCCCTACAGGGTGCATGATCGATGAAAAGTCGGCTATATGCTCTTCGCTGCTGGCACGCAGAGCGATGATTGAATCCCTCTCACAATGTCTCAACTCTGGCGGGTTTCTTGGCGCATGTTTCGAATGTCTTACCTGTTCGGACAACACATTTCCATGGTTGCTTACCAGTATCTCTGTGTGTGACTGGAAACTGTTGGTGTTTGATTGTACAAATTACGTTCAGATAATCTCTCCTCGGAAGTCTGTCCAGTCAATGGTCGAGTTTCGAGTGGGGCGCTGAAACCCAGTGTTATACCAAAACATTCACCATCACTAACTTGTTTACGTAAATCCAGACAAACATACGTACTTTCTCCATGACACTCCATTATCAAAAAATTTCAGCCCGCATAATACTATTCCAGTTCCGATTGATATTAACTTTAAAAAGTACGTTCATGGCGTCTGCAAAGTTTGCCATAACTCCGTATGATGACCAGAGAATAATTCATCTTCATAAATGATACAGCTACGCACTACTTGAATTTGTCAGCTACAGCAGTGAAAATAAAATTGACCACACAGAACTAGTTTCAAGTGGATTAGTGAATAACACTTCAGTTGGCACTGTGCCGGAATCCCTGAAATCCATCTATACAAATATATTGTCAACGTTCCTCGCACACTGGATTGAGCTTGCAAAAGTCTCAGTGAATGAGATTATTTATGCCTCCCGGCGACGGCCAACGCGGATTTATTTTAGCCTTCCAAATGCGTCGTTTAGAAATTCCCAATCCCAGACCGAAGAAAATCTGTAGCAAATAGTCAGATCATTTCATAATGCTTACTCCAAGGGTAAAGGAGATAAGTATGGAAATAAACTTACCGAGAACCGGTAAAGTCCGCATCGAGCGTGGTGCGTTTGACGAGACAATGACTACATACATGGTCATGCTCAACACAAGCGATAGCGCTACCGACAACCGATCTCCGGTGTCATCCAGGGTGAAAATGAGACAAGCCAGTGCGGAGAGCATAGAGAAGGGGACTAGAACAAGGACCACAAAATATAGTGGTTGTCGCTTCAGATGGATGCCGATACTCACATACTGATAGGTTACATTTAGATCACTCCGATACTTTTTGCTGGCAAAATGAACCGACTGTATTTCCCATTCGCTCACATTCGAGTTAGGCAAATAACTGTTGTCCACTGCCGATCCATGCGAGAACGGTCGAAGCAAAAGTTGCTGTTCACTACTTTGCCATGGGGTCAGGATGAGAAAGCACGTTTGATAGTCAAAGGGAAAGAAAGAGACGTCTAGAGGGCAAGTGGTATCCAGTACAGCTCCATGAAGCCACGTGACTTCACCCTCGGAGTTCACAGTCAGACGACTTCGAGCACCGGCGCTGAAATCGAAATCGGTACTGCTCTTCCCGTTCATCACACCCACATCGGGTATCCACAACTTGTTGGACGGGACATTGACCTCGCGAATATTGTCAAACGATTCCGGATCCCACGAGAGGCGTGGATCAAGCCATTTCTATTTGAAAGATGGAAACAAAGTCAGACATCAGTCCAATAGAAGCAGGGTTACCGGTGCGTTTCCATGACGTATTCACATCAATCATTATAGACAATGTGTTGTGAAAATTCATTCAAGCAAGTGGAGATGATCATGGGTATAAAACAGAACGAAACAGCTGTCTATTGCTCTTTGTCGGTTATTACAAGCATTTCCGTACTAATCACCGGCGTTCACAGACATTTTGCTAACATTGTGTTAACCTTAACTAATGATTGCAGTTCGCAGTCGATAAACGTTATGCTATAAAAGAAAATCAACATTAAAGATAAGCATGGAAGATTTTGTGAGAGTGCAATCAAAGCATTGAGTGAAAGTCGAACAACAGAGAGAGAGGAAAAAACAACTGCAACCACAAAAAAAGAATACCTTTGTCTAATTACCGAAAAGACAGCTGTGGTTAAGTGAATTCCGTCCGCCAATCAGACCGTATTGATTGTGTTTGGGGATGCAGTTGATCCGTTGGTGATATGTGCGCCAAGCACCAGCTAAAGGGCATAAGTTATTGACTAGACAAACCACAGTTTGTGGCTAGTATTTTTGCACGAAACTTAAAATAAATTACTCCCTCGAACACCAATACAGCGTGTAGAAATAATACGTTTTGTAGCGAGTCTTCCGAATGTAAACCTCATGGATTTCCGACTTTCCAGAACAGTATGTTTCCCGACTAAATCACTGACACTAGCGAGGTGAACAAAGACAAACATACAAACGAATTGTCACATTGCAATACGGAAGCCTCCAGTAAATTTATCTGTTTTCAGTGTTGCTGTTACTTTTAAGAATTTATTTTGTTTCAACAGCAAGTTACCAGCGGTTCCATCTGTTCAGCGAACTTTGAGTTCCTTCTTGTGTAACTCGCATGATCATGCGGACCAAGTCTATTCCAAAATGTCAGTGATCAAGGTTAGATAAAAAAGATTCTAGTCTATCAGGGTTCGTTGGAAAACCCTGATTCAGTGAAAGCCTCTCGATCGAAGTCATCTGACCGCAAATTGAGTCACCGATTATCACTACTGGACGAAATTAACTAAATTACTGAATGACGATATCTCTACAAGCTTGAACTAGTGATTCCAATAAACTTAAATAATCGCTGATCCGGAGTTCACATGTCGGACAATAAATCTGCAATATGGATGAACTGCCATAAGCATGAAACTGGAGTCTAATACCACCTGGCTTTTTGATTAAGGAACTGAACTGCTCATCTGTTGATACCTTTCGCGTGAAGATCATTTAATTTTTTAAATGCTTCTGCCAGAGACTGCCTATGCGTTGTGATCCGGCTATTGTAACCGGAAAATTTACTGAGTACCTATACAATCCACAGTTAATTTGATTGCATGAACGCGTCTTTAACTGATTTCTAGGCTAGAATCTCAATCGAAGCTGGGGGTGGATGATAGACATGTTGTTATAAGTTCCTTTTCGGGTACAGGTATGATGGGTGCTGGAGCTTGAAACGCAATTTCACCATTTCATTAAAGTTATTTGTACATATTTCCGTCTAGATAAGCTTGCTACCTTCTCCTTTTCACCAAACGTCAGTGGCTAATTGTCGCATATATGTAGACTGAGATGAGACTAACAGTGACCCGATAAGCACGCAGTATTTGTGGGTAAGTTTATTCTGCTGAAAAACCGCGGTGATTTTAGAGTTGTGCCAATGTGTTCATTGTAAAGTCAGCACAAATCATTCTCTGGTTTGGCTTTTCAGTTAAGTGCTAAATATTAGGCATTTGAACTATTGCACCTGTTTCTCATGATTTCCCGTTGACGCGAATGTCATGTAACGCGTCTGGGAAAGTTGTAAACAACTTCATTTTCAGGTCTTGATTTCCAGACCCATTGGCCTCTCATTCAACTTCGATCAAATTCCTATTGCAGATTATCGGTTTTCTACTCCAAATTGATCTTCTCTTCGACAATTCAAAGTCGATGTGGTCTAGCTGTCATGGTAGACTCAGATTCCGTAAATTTCGGTGAGGATGCAACAACGTATTACCCAAATGAAGGTGTAGGATTGATCGATGGCGAGCTTGATGGACCTCAAAATGGGGCGGCAACTCTGTCAAATCCTCCCGTGCGGCGTGGACGGGTGTTCACGTTGAACAGTTATCAGATCTTATTAGCTTCGTAATATTTTAGACTAGCCAGCTTAAATTAGCTCATTCGATTTTTAAGAGGCAGCAGACACTCCTGAAGCTCTTGAGGGTGCGGTTCACTCCTTGGGAGATCGTTAATTCCCCACAATTTCATGCATTTGCATGCGATGAAAATGTTTGTGATAAGGAAAAAACATTTCTATGGCATAGAGATTCATGAAATTGTGGAGAATTAACGAGCTCCCAAAGAGTGAAACCCACACTCAAGAATATCAAGATTGCCTGTTGCCTCTTAACAATGGAATGGGTTAATCCAAGCTTGCTACTTTAAAATCGATTGAGCCATTCCCAAAAGGTGATAACCATTGACAGTGTAGCTCAGGGGTAAGGATTTAAAGTCCCAACCCGAAAGTTTGCGGTTCAACTTTATAATATGTTTCTAGTTTATCGACGATGTTGCCTAAAAACGATGTCAGTAATCACTGTAAATCGCTCGACACACAAATATACACGAATGTAACTGATTTGCAAGAAGTCTAACAGACCAACATACATTAACTGTCATATTATATTAACAGAAAATTAAAACTATGTGCATTACTGAGGGGGAGCAAAGGTGATGTGGCATGTTTATGGTGCTGTTTATGTGAACTCTACATTGCACCCAAACAAAAGACAAAATATATGAAAATCTATCATTGTCTGATAATGGAAGTTAATATCATATCCAGCAAAACCCACTTGATAGCTAAAATTAACGAGGCTTTACAATCTGTTCAACATTATTATTAATTGACTCAGTCCAGGCTATCAAAACCCGATGGTAGTAAACAGGTGAGTTAAGTAACGTTCGGAAAGTTACACACCAATTAAATTCACATACTAGTTTACATGTAAAAGGAAGCGAAGACACAATTAATTGATCAACCGGATCACCTTCTTCTGTTTAATGAGGTTTAATAATAAGTTGTAGCATGTTTAAATATACTTTTGCGTCCATGAGTCATTTGTTGTTGTAATGGTTTGCGATATTTACTTGGGAAAGGGCGTTATAGGTAATGCTTAAAATCATGCTGTGGAAAGCACCAATCGCTGAACTTCTCAGTCGCCTGGTTCTGTGAGACCATTCAAACATAGTCTGTCATAGGCTCATCCACAATCATTAGATATCCTCCTTACTGACGTCAGGTATAATGCCGAGGTACAAAGAGGAGTGACAGTTGTTAAAGGGAAGCAGGGAAAAGAAACTCGGATTGACTAAACATACTCGGTAAGAGCGGGGGGAATCACTCTATTTAATAACAATAAAGTGCTGAGCGACTGTACAGTCCGCTCAGCTGCAATGATCCAAATTGAAACTGGGCCCTGAAATATGTGTAGTATTTTGCATGATTCTATGAGTCAAAAATGAAAAAGTGAGAGCTATCCCATATCTGAAAGATTTTCCTAAATCGATCAACCTTAGACGCGTTAGAAAACGTGAGTAAAATCTAACTGTTCTTCGTTCGGAAGCTGCGCGTTATGTTCTACGCGTGATTTAGTAATTACGGTAATGCAATAAATGCGATAAAGTGGTTAGGTTACAAAACTTATGATCTGGAAGTCCCTGGTTTGAACCGCTCTACCGCCGCTCGTTTTCCCTATTTCTTTACTTTCCCAGACAGAATTGGTATGACCGCGAACCCCTTCTTGAATGTTGACTGTACATTTGTATATTCAATAAATATAAAGGGAGGTAAAATATCAAAAAATCAAAGAAAACAACTTTGTCATATGATTAACTTTTTACTTCATGAGATAGTTTCTATTGTGATCCCCTTCCGATTATTTCCGGGATGCTTTGAGATGTCATTCTATTTTCGTTTCGTGGTTACTTCGATGTTCGTCACCCATCAGTCGGAGATAATGATACGTTTATAGACAATTATGAGTACGATATAGCCGTTGGATCAGTTTCTCACAAACTTACAATTTCTGAACAACAAACTTCTTCATCAATGATTTTGTGTTACTTTATGAACTTGAATTTCTCCCATCCTTCTGCAGGTCCTGATACGTTAAAATCTCATAGCGAAAAAAATTCTAACTTTCTTGATAGGGTGCGACTGTTTATAGCTTTGCTTTACTCTGAAAGATTTCCACAGACAAATAGTTAAGACATTCTAATGCTACCATTTCACAAGATTTTAGCACCTCATTCCCGCAACTTTATCACTAATCTGCGGTAGACCAGACAACGCCTTTTCTTCTGAAATTAGTTTAACACTTCTTCGTGTAACCGGAAATAAACCTATGCCAATCCTGTACTCTGACGCCTCACGATGTTGATTGTATTACTCCCCAGTATTATCTTCTATAGCAAGGTTACGAGGTTATATATTGTTTAGTTTGCACTTTACCAATCACAAATCACATTCAGTTGCGTTTTCATTAAAGCATTCTTATCACTAAACATTTCACTTCATGTGAACTATTTTCTCACAATGTCCCAAATGGTGTTACTAATTTGGCATATGATTACCTCAGCAGAGTTGTATCTGCATCTCATAGAACGGAGGCCAGCAAAACATGCTTGACATCCGTATAATTCCACACCATAAGATAATGCTTTCCCTCCCAGTTGTCGTTCGTGATGGTTCTTGGATGGTTCTTGCTGGTTTCACCACATTCTACTGCCTTGCAATCACGGGCAATTGTGATGTAAGAGTACAAATGCGGTTACTCTCAGACAATGCAATGCTGTGAACGCATTCTCCCGTACAGAACGAAGCAAATTAAACAGACTATCGCTCATCAAGACAACAAAGATTCTCTGGCCGACGATTCATTCACCCTATTCTAGATCAGCCAGATCACGACTTGACTTGAGATGACGAACTTCACGAAGAATGAGATCATTTAGGCTTCGCAATGCACGTTTGTTTCCCAAACCTTACTGATTGTTCGATGATATCACAATGAACGCTGTCAAATAGTAGACCTAAAAATAGCATATTTCAATACGAAACCATAAAATCATATTTGAAATAAATAAGTCCCTGAGTATAGTGGCGTATTACCTCTCGCACTGTTCCATAGCGCTATGTTCTAAAATGGGTGATTGAATAATCTGAGTATCCGGTTATCGAGGCGAACTTTTTGTGCACCCAACCTCCTTTTTCAACGGTTACTACTTCAGTGCCCGTTTTGCAATGAGGGTTTAATAAAGTAGGTCGTATCGTCCGTTCCGGATGTTCTATTGTTACCAGGGGATTGTAGGACAGGAGCGTGCGATATTGACAGTATGGACTCACTGATTTCCTAAGCTGACG